TACAAGCTTTTTGCTTAACTTATGATGTCCTACATGTCATAAATACAGTTGGCTAAAACATTTGGAGATTGATTTTGATTGTTTAAAAGATACTTATTGGTTCATTAAAAAAGACTTTATGAAGAATATTAACTTCTGTGGACTGAAGCTCATCTATTCTGGGTATACTCTGTTAAATATGGCTAAACCTGCTCTAAAAGCTTTGTATGCACACTAACACTCAACATTTTCCTTTTTGTTGGTTTCAAAGTCCAATGATTCCTTTTTCCTGTTGAAGCTCATTTTGTGCTGACCAAAGCAGTGTCCTGGAAGTCAGCCCTGCTTCCACAGACTGGCCTTCGCTGCCTTCAGTCCTGTCAGCGATGGACACTGACAGGGTCCACGCCGCTCTGCCCGACCCGCCGAGTCACAGCGAAGACTTAATGCTGGAAGAGAAGGCCTTTGGGAATTTCTTTGCTGAGTTAGAGTCTGTGGAGCTGCCTCTGGGGACCACTTTGAGGTAAACTTCTGATACAACTTTAACCAATAAGATTAGTTTAAAGATTAAAACAATGAGCTTGTGTGGAAGATCAAATAAAACTAATTGTCCCTCCATCTGCTGGGCATCAGAGGAAGCTTTCAGGTTGGAGCTGAGACTTAGGGGACGTTCAGAGGACAGCTGTGGGACTTTTTATTGGATCCATCCTGATTATTAAAAAATAAACAGCATTGTTTGTAAAACTGCTGGTAAGAAATGAACAGAGTTCCTCCTGGAAGATGTAACAGCAGGCTGAGGTTAATGCAGCCTCCATCAATAAAAACAGGATGGCCTTCTAACCGATGACAGCGTGGCTATTATTGCCTTTCTGCTCTTTATAAATACAGATTACCAGATGATCCTTTACATTTTCCTTTAAACACTGGATCAATCAAAGTGTTTTGGTCTGTTTGTTTCATGGTATAGATGTTATAACAATGTTATAACAACATGTTAGAACATCTAGAACATGTTCTAGATGTTCTCCAAACAGAGTCCCACTGCTGGGCCCTGCAGTGAATGATTGTCCAGCTGGCTGCAGAGCGCCCCCCACCGGCTGAGGCTCAGCACTGCGCTGCTCTCTCCCTGAACATAACAATCATGGCGGACAGTGAAACCCTGGAGTTTGTAACGGAGCACGAGCGGATCCTGCAGGAAATCGAGAGCACCGACACGGCCTGTGTGGGCCCCACGCTCCGGTAAGAGGCGGCGGGTTTGATCGGTGTTGTCCGGGAAGCAGAAGCTGAGGCGCGCGCGTTAGCAGGGCAGCTAGCATCCTCAACGGGATGAAGGAGATGCTACACGGAGAGCAGAGCTAACTGAGCTCTGGAGACACAGCAGAGAGCGGAAGTTAGAGCGGACATCTTGGAGGATTTTAGCTGTTGGTAAAGATGCTGCTGAATGAGGGGAGATGTCAGTGGGTGGTCTGTCTGTCTGTCTGGCTGTCTGTTCCTCCACTGCTAGCTCAGGGCTAACTGATAATAAGCTGACCTAACATCCAGCTGAGCCGGACTGGAGCCGCTCCCTCCTCCGGCCGGAGCCGCTCCCTCCTCCGGCTGTTTCCGAGCATCCTGGATCCTCTGGCTGCCAGCTGCTAAGGCCGCAGTGGATGACAGGCTGCCGGTAGCGGGTCGGTGCCTCCAGGTGGGGATGGAGGATCAGTGGATGGAAGCTGCTGGATGAAGCTCCTCTGATCGCTGGATCCATCCTCCCACAGGCGGATATCACTGCAATAAATGACATTAACTAGTAAAAAAAATAAACAACTTTTATTTCAAGCAGATCTTAAATCTCCATAAAGACACCCAGAAACAATCAGCATCGATCAACCATGATGTTCTCATTTTCAGGGACTTAAGACTCTTAAAATAAAGATAAATTCATCACTTTGACACAGACTGGCTGTTTCATAGCATCAGTAGATTAACTTTAACTTAGAATAAATAAATAGGCCCATCACATTGAATAGTCATTATGAAGTCTATAAATCATGTAATATAACATATTATCAGCATAGTAATAGAGATGTGCCAAAAATGTATGATGTACATCTAATATATAACTATTTATTACATTATTGTGGTCATTGCATCTTACATAGCAGGTAATGCATTTTATTTAAATGTTTGAGCTACTTTTTTTCCCCTCAATATAAAATGCAATATATTTCAGCTCATGACTTTTTCAAATAAGAAATTCAACAAACGCTCCAAAAATGACAGCATGATCCATTTAATAAAGACTGACTATATTAACATTTCACAATGAATTACTTTCTATTTCCTCTACTTTCTATTTTCTAACGTTAGACCCAATGTCAATGGCTAACTCAGTCAATGTCTTCCAGTCAGCCTGAGATAGCCAGACTAATGTTACACTACAGACTATACTATAGGATCCATCGGCTATAGATGGATTTATTGGTTAGATCATCCACTGACGGGGAAATGACCTGTGGAACGTCTTCCTGCAGACAGAGAACTGCTGGTTTATGCAGCCAGATGCTGCACAGGGAGGCATTTTACTGCACGTCTCAGTGGGAGTGGGGAGTACCAACATGGTGGATGATGGCTTCACTTTTTTTCAGGCAGCCAGCAATCAGTGAATAAATATAGATCAGTGGTGGGGACAGGGGTTGTCATGGCAACGTGGAATCTGTTGATTTCAGTTTCTACCAGTTGTTTTCCTGACTTAGAGCTGAGGGATTTCAGTTAGAGGTGCATCATATTTTGTCTCATTTTCTTAAAAAACTCTAAAACCTGAATTATGATTGTGAAATAATTTATGTTTTTAGAATATCCAAAATGTATTTTTCCCCTTTTGTTCTACTATAAACACTTGATGCTAGGATAATGTAGGATAATTTGTTATTGCATGGTCAAAATGGAAACAATGATATTTAAAAGGGGTCTCTATGTCCTCCAGCAGTCTAAA